ATTTCATCTCATCCTTGCTATTAATTCTCCCCAGGATGCTCTGGGTTGTGGGCAGGTACTCGGAGCCTCATTGCCCAGTGCTCTGCTGACAGCAGTGCACTGCAGAAACCAAGTCAGGGCTCTCCCTACTTCTGTTGCTCACCCCTTTCCCAGTCAGCATGTGAGAAGAGAAAAATGTCTTCTCCTCTTCCTTGCAGGCTCCAGCAATGAAGGTGGGTCTGGCTCTAGAGTCCAGGTCTCCATCCAGCAAAGCTTTTAAGCATGCAGCTAATCCATCCCCATTTAGAAAAGTGCAGATGTAGCTACATTTTGCCAAGTGAGATCCGGGAGCACACGCCAGCTAAGGGACTTTGGTAAGAGCTTTGGTGAGCAGGGATGGGCAGCTGGGAGGGGACCACAAAAAGGCAACAGAAAAAAGGAGCAGAGAGGACAGCTCCAGTAGTATTGGAGAAGCAGGAGCAAGGAGAGCTGAGTCAGGCCATGTCTCAAAAAAGCTCACGCCAATTTCAGTGCTTTTGTTGACTCTGGTGTCACCTTTTCCAAGTCACTTCACTGTGCCATTAGAGTTAAGAGCAACCTCTGACAAAATCCTTCTGAGATTTACACAAACAAAGGGCACACTGTGAAAGCCAAGTGTTAATGATTACATCTTGGCTGAAATTACCTGGTTTCAGTGGTAATTTCCATTATCTCTCTAGAACTTGCTAGAAGTTCTTGATTTTGACCTTGGGGACACACTTGTGGCCTCACTTCTTCCAGTGCTTCACACTTCACACTTCACTACTACACATGTACTCAGGATCCCATTAGGTCAGGCACAAGGAAAGAGACAGGAGTCAGGGCAAAATGCTCAGACTAATTCTCCAAACATCATGGGCAGATTTAAGAGCAGCCAAGGGAAAATAACTCACAGCCCCTCTGCTTGTGGAAGGCTATGAATGCCACATTCATGTGGTCCTGCAGCAAATGACCACAGGGAAAAAAGCAGCTTTCAGGCAAGTTAGTTTCAAGAATGGAAATAACTGTGTCTGGGAAGGAGGGTGAGATTTTGGTTGCTGGGAGTAAAAAATTGACACAGAAAATAAAAGGCCAGACCTGCTGAGTAGCCCGTTTTCAAGAGTCTCTTCTCACTGACTGGGACCAAACCCCAGCTCGGCTGAAGAACAGGACACAAATCCAGATGTTCATGCTCAGAGTACTCCCCAATATGCCATGACTGCCTCTTACCTTTGGTATGTGGGCTGTTAATTTACTGGAACGTTTGAAGCACAGGATGAAAATGTCTCTGATGATCTCAAATGGGAAGCCCTTCTTCAATGAAATTCCTCACAGGAAATTTTCTTTTTGGAGAAGTATATACCAAAAAAGTGCTAAAGACTGTATTGTTCGAGACAAATCTAAGAGCTGCTGTCATCTAAAATAAGCAGCTAGTGCACTTTGATGTACAGCAGAAACTTTTTGGATGTTGCAAAAATAGCCCCTTGTATTAATCTGACAGGTCTGGCCCCCCTGGAGGTACACAAAGCCTTAGCACAAGCAAAGCTTTCTGATGCCTTGCTGAGTCACTACATCACCAGCTCCTGACAGAAAGCCTTCTTCTAAATGTGCCCTGTAGGCTTCACTAATTGCTGTGATGTATAAAATAGGGCATGTGAAGATGATACAGGTTACAGAGCCTGAAAAATGAAGTTTAATTATAAGCTACAAAATCTCAACATCATAAAGATTGTTTCTGTTCAAGATCCGACAAGGCTTCTTATATCTTACTGCAAGACATCTGTGGCTTTAACTCATCAAGCACTTTAGTTTTCCCTCAAAAATAGGAGAACTTCATCTTAAGAAACAAATTAAACAACTACTTTTTATACTAAATACGCTTAACGTAAAGATTTCTCCCTATTATTTCATAAACACCTTGAGATTACAGAGGCTCAGCTAGCTTAGTAAAGATGAATAGCGTGTGATCCTGGGAATACAGCCATTGCATTAGTTATTCTTCCTTTCCATTGTGTTAGGCTTTTTGTAAATAATCTGCATGTTTAATGAATGGAGACTAATTAAGAAGAAAGGACATGCTTTACTGTAGTATTAAAACCTGTTCATTGCCATAGGCAAGATGTCATCAATATTTCTAGATGAAAATTACTACTTGCGATATACATCATGCAGAATTTTACTGTAACCATTAAAAAAGGCTAAAAGAATGTTTTATCACTGGGTACAAACAGCCATATGCAGATTTAAAACTATGTAACCAAATGCATAATTCATCAATGTATATGATACTTTGGAAGAAAGGCATTATAACAAACTTGATTATTTCACAGATCCCAAAAGACAGAAAAATCTCTTTATCTCCAGAGCAAGGCTGCTCTATACATCTAAATAAGACCAGTCAAGTGTGCTAATATCAGTTGTTTCACTGCAAGTATGTACTTCCCTTATTGTCCTTAACAGATTTCCCTAAATTCACAGTGGTAACAAAACAGTTACCACTGCCCCAAACAGCTGATTTATATGCCAAATAGCATGGTGGAGTAAATGCCACTTAGGACCAGTTCTATCAGCTTTGTTCGTACAAACAACCACATTGATTTAAATAGAATCAATCAAGTCAGCAGGGTTCAGTCAGACAATGTCTACATTAGCAATAGGAGCAGCACTGTGGGAGGAAACAGCTTCTGCTGGGGGCTCAAAGTCGGTGCCAGCGGCGTGGTGGAGACACGATGTTATTCCAGCCAAGCTCCTGCTTGGCCCCACAGCTGCCTATTAGCAGCTGGAACAAACACAGCAACTGGGAAATTCACTTCAGAAACATTCTCCTGATCCCAGCTGAAACAAGGATGTGGGCACATCCCCAGATGGCCACAAGCCTGCCAGTGTCTAACATCATCATCACAGTTTAGCAAAGAAAAGTTCCTCTGAGTCTTCTCCATGGCATTCCAAGGAAGGGGCTGCACATCCCATGTGCTGAGGTGGCATCACAGCCTGTGTGTCCTGCAGGGCTGGACAGGCAGGGACATCCGTGGGTGATCCCAGGGAAAGATCAAGTGTCTGAGGAAAGGGAGAGCATGAGGTGCATGGGAACCTTCATCAGTGTTTGAATGAAGAATTGGTTTTCCAAGGATGTTTCCCAAGTGTATCCAGTTGGTGCAATGATTCTGAATTTAATGGCTGCCACCTAATCTTCACAAAACTGCATCAATTCAACTTAACCAGGATGTGCCAGAGGAGGCAGGGAGCCAAGCATGATTACATTGCTACAAATTCCTGATCATTGACTCTCACAGTGCAGAATGATCAAAATAAAATAGGGAATAGGAAAATGATATCACTGTTACTTGCTTAATAAGATACTTTACCTCATTTTTCCCCAGCATTATAAATGAGACAGTTGTCTTGCTTTTTATCTCGGTACTCATACAGTGTATCCTTCAGCACCTCTATTTGTTCTGTTTTTCACTGCTGAAATAATGGTAGAGATAAGCCAATGGAGACACTCCAGTACCAGTGTACAAAGTCACAGCTCTCAAGAAAGATAGAAATAAAATTCTTTTTTCAAAAAAAAATACATACACAAATACATATTTTTTTTTTTTTCTTCCTTACTGCCTACTGTGAATCTTCAGAAAAGTCAATATGTTGATTATTCTCAGCAGGGACATGCCAATCACATAATCAATACATTTATATCCAGCTACAGTATGTAATTTCTCTGTTGTATTTTGCAGTTCTTCTACATTAGGCCCAGCTAGAAAATACAACTCTGGTGGTATTTTGGCTCTTTGTGATTTATATTTTAAATCCACAGTAAAGTCTTTAAATTCTTTTCAAAATAGTTTTCAAGTGATAGTGGAACCATTGGTCTGTGTTCTCAGTTAAGAAATTACTGTTTTGAGATAGTGTCTCAAATTCTATCTATTTTAGTATCTCCTTTCAGGCTCCCCTTGAGTAGCAGAAGTTTAGACCAACTGATTACTCTGCCCCTCTCTCAGGAGATAATTGTTTTCTCCATCTTGTTATGCATTTTTAGCTGCTCAGTGGTGTAAAGTGTAGATGTGCAAGTACTGTTTTTCTTGATACAAATCCTTCAGCTTTCAGGTGTCTTAGTACCTGTCCTCATCAGACATGAAAGGTTTATGCGCTGTGCAAAGTGCTGTAAATTCACAATAAATTACAGGAGTAATTACAGGAGATGACCGAAGATACTTTGAGATGCAAAGCACTGTTAGGTTCCCCTGAGCTTTCTCAGGATAGCATGGGCACAAGATCTCACCAGAGGAGGCTTCTGGGGGTACATAATTAAAAGCACAGTGCATGGCTAACCTTAAAATTTAAGCCAAAAGGAAAGTGTGTGCATAGAAGGATTTGGGAGGCTGGGTCTTTCAAATGGTACCTATGATTTTGGAAGTATAATCAAAAATGTACAGGAGCAATGCATCAACAAGATCTTGATGTAACATTTTTATTTTATTACTGTAATTTCTCACCTAGAAGAAAGACTTCTACAGATGGTTCCATACTGAGATGAGAACTCATAAAATTTTATCTTTGGTCTAATTCATTGTAATGATTTGTAGGTGTTTGTTTTTTAATTTTGCATCTTTATTCAAATATTTTTAAAGTAGCCAGATTAACATAGTGTTCAAAATTGCTCACTGATCAAAAGGTATTACTGGGTGTTTTGATTCTGATATGACAGCAAAAATTAATCTTACGGACACCAAAAGTCTTCACTTGTTTATGTGTTTATTTATGTTCTGTTACTATTTCCTCCTCTGCTAATACCAGTTTTTTCATCTGCCTCTTTAGTAATCCATTGAATCACTTACTTGGCTTTCAGAAAATTCCCTGTCTGGATAAGCTGAGATAGAAGCCTGAAACATTTACAATCTCCACACTACAGCCAATAAAGAGATTGTTTACAAATTATACTGTGATGTGCGAGATCTCACTTGATTATACCTTAACTATTGTGTTTTTCCCTCCCTACCTCACAGATGATGGAAATGCTTAAAACAAGTTAAGGTAGTATGACACAGACTAACGTAAGTGTGAGCATGGCATCCAGGGGACAAGCTGTGAAATGTTTGCGTGCTTCTGCCAAAATGCGTTGCATGGCTTTCTGCTGTTGTCTCGTGTTTCTGATGTTAGGCAGCATGTCCAGCAACATGTAAGCATTTCATTTGATATTTATATTCCAGCTCAGCTTTGGTTTTGTGTAGTCTTAATATTCTGCCTTTTTTGGTAGCTTGTGGCAGCTGCTAGTGGCAAATCTGCAAGCTGTGTATGTCATTCCTAAGTGACCTTCAGAAGTACCTGCTAGGACCGGAACCCCACTGGATATGGATGTTTATAAATCCATGGTAGAGATGTTGAAGTGTGCAGTTCAAGTGGGCCAGGAGCAGAATCTTCCCTCCTGTGCCTGCCGGAGGAAAGCGGCTGCTCCCGGTTTGCCTTCCCTGGGAGTCAAGCCTGCTCCTGGTGAAGCTCTGCCACCACCAATGCTTTGTGACTCTTCTGTTGTCAAACTCTTGCTCCATGTGGCAGATAACACATCAGAGTTGTGAATGCTGTTTGCACAGTCTCTGTTTAAAAAAGACTGCTATGAGTAAATATGATGTTTTCCTGTGTTTATATAGTCCTTTTAATCTTAGCGTATGTAAAGCTTAAGACAGTGAGACTAATCACAGCAGCTCAAAACGTACTTACCCACATGGGTCTTGTGGTGCTGCGTGGTATGGAGAGGTAGAACTCAGTTTTCCCTTCCTGGGTTTCTTTGCTCATGGGATTTTCACTCATATTTTAAGGGTGCTGGTGGGGATTTTTTGTCATGCGGCTGGTCAAATATTGACGAGGTTGCCCAGCAAGGTAATATCATCCCCATCTCCACATCTCCAATGTGACTGGACATGACCCTAAGCAACCTGCTCTGTTAGGACCTTCTTAGAGAAGGGAATTCATGACCTCCAGAAGTGCATTTCTACTTACAGTTGTCCATGATTCTACAGTTTTGTGATGTACAGGTGGGGAGTAGAGTGAAGACACCAAAATAACTTTTAAGCACCGGATCAGTGTTCCGGTGATTAGTCCACTTTCCTGGAGTTTGTTGAATGCTGGTAATTACTCTCAGTATACTCAGTTCAACCACTTGCAACTGAGCATACACAGATAAATTGTTGTTTTTTCTTATTATGCAACAAAAAATATGTATTGAATAGCATGTGTTGTGTGAGATCAAGATGGCTTATCAGAAACACCTCTATTTTTGAATTATTGGAGCTGTGCCAGCTGATGCTGCCAGCTGTCTACATGATGTTTTTATAGCTCTTCTCAAGTTTCCCTTGTAAGATCCCTACCTCTGTTCCTAAGACATTAATGATTAGACTGTCAGAGCTGAGAAAATCCACCTACAGACCAAGGTCACCTTCGCTGTTCTCAGTAACAAAGGAAAATGCCAGGCTAACAAGGCTTAGGAAGTCCTAATTAATGTCAATGGGAAACTCAAAGCCAGAGAAAATAGGGCTGGCAAAACAATTCTCTCTAGAGCTAAGACTTTTTTTTTTTCAGCCATTGTAAAAGCCTGGAAGCTGTATTTTCAAATATGGTTAGTGCTGGGGATGGGTTGCAGAAAAGAAAGGGAAGCAAGGGGTTTGTGATTTCCTGCCTCCTTCTTCTCAGTGAGTTCCTGCCAGCAGTCAGAGCTCTGACAATCAGCTGAGGCCCTGAGGCAGGAGCACTGTACATCTCTGTTCCCACCTGCCAAAAAGTCACCATGCTCCTTCGTCAGTTTGGCTCCCAAAAAAATGTGTCTCCTCAGGGATGCTGCAGCCATGACATACACAGAGCTGGGCCACCCCACAACCTCCCACCTCCTCCCCTTGCTGCCGAAAGATCCATGTTCCCTCATCCTACACATGAAAAAAAAAAGACCAATATCTACCCACAGTTGTCAGGTGAATGGCTGTCCACAGACTGTATTTTATAGAAGACAACTCATAGATCTGTCTCTAGCACCACTTAAGGATCCTGAATTTATCTTTGAGTCTTGTGAAATAGCCCATCTTCTCAAAGCACCCTATTAAGCATTTTTGCTCCCATTTTCTTCCCCTAAATTAGTCTTAGTTCAACATTCAGATTCCCTGAGCTGGGCTAATCCTCTTGATTGCACCTCCCTCCTCTCAATGTTCTGACCCCCACTACAGGCTTGATGGAACCAGTTGTCTCTCAGACACCTTATCTGGCAGAGAGCTGCTAAGTCCTGCAATATTTCAGCCTATTCATTCATATAATCTGGGGTTTTCATGCTGATGTCCTTACTCAGACATCTCTGTTTTCTGTGTAAACCCAGTGCTGCTAGAAGAAGCTTGGTTTCCCCACTGATTTCCTTCTATGCCAAGGATGTCTCCAACTCAGTTCTCTTATTTTATAAGTGTGAGGGAGAAGTCCACAAATGAGCGTGGGTTTGATTTTCAGTGCCTATATGTGGGTTATAGCACCTGCAGCCATGTTTTAAATTCCAGAAAGAAATATTCAACTCAGATATGATGAACCAAATTCCCACAGCCTTTCCAGCAGTGGGGAGAACAAACAGAGGAAACAATTCCCTAAGGGAGCCGTGACTTTCCAGTGTTGTAAAGCCCTAGGAATATATTAATCAACACCATCAGAAGTGACTCTGATGCAATTAGCCTACCTTGGGACAAGAAGCGGTCCACATGACCTCCTGAAGTTCCCTCCTGCTTGTTTTTGTATGATTCTGTTATTTCAGCCAAAAAAAGTAATTGTGGTTCTAAATTGTGTGCATGTAGAAGAGGCTGACACCAGGACACAAATTCAGTGGTAAGAGTGGACAGACCTGAAGGACCACTGCAGAGTGTTGAATGTAATCATCTCCTCTTGCACGTACACACACACACAAGGGTGTAAGTCCACTTACACACTGTTTCTTCCTCTTAGCATGACAACAGGCCAATGTTACACACTCAGCCAATCCCAGTAGTACCCACAGGGCCAGACACTGTGGCCCACTGGATCTTGCTCCCCCATGTTCCTCTGCAGATCCTCTTGTCTCAGCTGCCTTCCTCCTTGAGCCTCCCTCCATCCCTCACCAAACCCTGAAACACAGATACCTTCACCAGTTACATTATCCTGAGCAAACAGCAGGAATCGTTTTTCTAAAGACCTTCAGTGCAGTTTTATTCCCCACGTGAAGATTAAATCCTCAGAAAATTACTCACAGAATGCCATCATTGATCCAAATGGTCTCCTACAATTTCCTTCACCCTTCAGCCACATGTTTTTGACCTTGTCAGATTAGGAGACTGGTTTCTCTCCCTGGTGGCTTCTCTGAAGTCTCAGTTACCACAACCCCTCTGTGCTTCCCAGGCAAGCACAAGCTCCTCTGATGCTGAGTGGTGTGCAATTTGTCCACACTGCTGCTGCTTGCTGCTTCATCTGCCCCACAAGAGCATTAAACAAAAGTCACTGCTCTCTGGAATGGTCAGTGCCTGCTCACTTGCCTACTGTTGAGTTGCCTCTGTTCCCTGTTCAGATATTCCCTGCACCACAGAGCTAGGCACGCCTTCATCAGGACATTTCTCCTCTTATGTCCTAATCCCTGGCTGTCCCTTGCTGCTAGATGCTTGTGCATCTTCTGTCCCAACATTTCTATTTGACCCATCCCTCATTCAAGCTGCAGTTCCAGTGCCACCTCTGGGGCTCTGGGAGCCATCCATAGCAAAAAGGGTAACACACCCTCTTCCTCTGCCCCCACCTGCTGTGTTCAGCCACATGCTGATCCTCTCCAGCACTGCCAACTTTGAACTCAAAGTCATATTATTCAGGGAGCAAACAAGCGTCTCTGTGTTTATCACTGGAATACTGTAGGCACAGCTCTCCCTTCCCTGAGGCTGGTGTTGCTCACAACCCAAAAGAATGGTGCTTTTAACTTCAAGCAGAAGCACACTCACTCATTCACTTTTGGAAGTGTGGTTATAACTCAAGCAAGGAGTGTGCTCTTGGGTAGAATCCCTACCCCATCCAGAAAATTAATATAGCTTCAAGGGATGTGGAGGAGCTTTATGCAAACGGGGACTTGAGACAGCCCAGCAAAGCACATTGTTTCCTGGAAGTGCATAGGAACCCTAATGAATTCAGCAGGATGATCCATGGACTGAGAGGTGTGCTCTTATCTAAGTGCTTTTCTGGCTGAGGGCCACAGACTGACTTGCTCTTGAGAGCCCATGGGACAGCTGAGAAAGCAAAATCTGCCCAGTGGAACACCAATGCCTCTCTTGCCCAAAGACTATCCAGCTTCCTGATATGTGAAAATTGCATGGTCTTTATCAAAGACTTTGAAAAGCTCAGCAGATCTCAAGCTTCTTTCCTTCAGTAGAGCAGCTTTAATCCTCCATCAGGGCTGGCCAGCCTTTCTGCATCATGTATCCCCAAAATGCCAACATTTCCCTATGACCAACAGCCACCAGATCATGAAGATCTGAAGCAGGACAAAGACCTTGGGGTTGGTCACAGACAAGAGCAGAGTCCTTCTTCCACAGTTCCTATGGAAGACAGCTTGGCTGGGCTTATGCCGGTGTCTGCAACCCCAAATTCTGCGCTACCACAGGGACTCCAGTGACAGGTGGATGCTGTCAGTGCCACGGGGACCACAGTGCTTGGAAACCATAAATGAACTACTCATCAAACATAACCAAAAGGATCAGAAATTATCCAGTATTAAGGGTTGGATTTCTGTATATTTTAGGCATCCTTCATAGTGGCAGCATGTGATATCCCTTCTCTGCATCCAGAATAAAACAGGATGGAATAAAACAAAGAATAGAACAGGCAGAAACCCAGACAGACCAGCAGCCTCTCTCAACCTGGCAATACATTAAACTGGCAAGTTATTATACATGAGTTGAGCTAGATATATATGACTTATTATACATGAGTTGAGCTAGAGCAGGCTGATGCTCTTACATACACTGCCTTACCTGTCTTCCTCATGAACAGCTATTTTGGATTTTCCAGTAATTCAACATGC